TGCAGAAAGGTGGTGCCTTGACGCAGGTATGGACGTGCTGAAGACGATGCTGGAGCCATGGCGTTGCAGGTAAGTCGACAGGTAAGTTCTCGCGAGGTCATCAAGACCAATCGGCCGGCAGCAAACGAGAAGTCGCCGCCGCAGCCGACCTGTGTGGAGAAAGGAAGAACTGGTCAATGGCCGCAGCACGTCGCTGCAGTCCAAACTGTTGGACAATCGGAAGACATGGCTGCAACTCAAGTATCAAGTGAAGGTAAGGGGAAGTTCAGCCGCGAAACAACAAGAAGTCCCGAGGTAAAGGGAAGGCGAAACTTGCATCGCCGGCTGGAACTGGACCGCCACCACCATGGGTGAAGTTCAACCTCACCGAAGAAGCATACAAACTCCGGAACAAGTACGGGTGCTGCTTTTGGTGCAACAGCACCAAGCACGCCACCCACCAGTTCGCGGATGCGGAGAAACATGACGAAACTGAGCTCCACGGGAAGTGAGGCGACAATAATTCCCATTCCGCCGGATTCGGCCACCTTGCTAGCGCCTTCCTACACATCCGGGGAGCATGCGGATGCCGCAAGTTCTCAATGTGCTTTCAAGGACTACGCTGTCCAGTTGTCCCCACCGTTGGACCACTCCACGTGCAACACTCTATTGCATGTGCGGTTTCATCACCGTCGGCAAACAATTCGACCCATTCGCCATTGATTGCAGTCGGGGACTTGTGGGCAGAGATATTGGGGAGTCTATTTGGAGACTTCAGGAGTGTTATTCGAGTTGACGACATCTCCATTCCTCCTCCTCCTTCGTCTCTTCCCCCTCCTCCTCATCTGTAGATGTTTGCTGGTCTGGCGCCCTCCGTCTGTGTATTGGGCCCAGGACCCCTCTCCCCCTGCCTGATGATGACGAGTGTGATGCAGTCAGTCTGTGTCATCTGAGTCACATCATGGTATATCACTCTTCCACTGCACTATTTTTGCTCTATCTCTTTTGGTCCGTTCTCAGTTCCGATCCTTGCCTTATAGGCATTCGACATTGCTTTTCCTTTCAAAGTTCAAACTTCCAACACCAATCCTCCTAACACACAGTATCCAGCTGGATTTGAACTCATCATCTGCTTCTTTCGAAGTCGCCGTTAGCTATATGTGTCCAGTAGTTAGCTATATCTTGCTTACTTGCTTGTCTTTCAAACTTCAAACATTTTGTTTGCGAGGTTCCCCCTCCCGAGCCTCCTCTTTTGTTTTTGGTAATGGAAAGTTGGAAACATCACCTTCCCCCCCGACCCAAAATGTTCAAACATAATGCGCGCCAACTGCTAGCTGCCATGTTCTCTGGACCAAAACACTGGGCAATCTTGTCCATTTGGTTTTTAAATTTTTAATGCTTCAATAAAACATTCCTGTCACGTTTGGTTTCTAAATTTAAATCAAGTTTAATGCTTGAATAAATCGTTTCCTCGTCAAACGAGGGAGGGAGGGGCGTAAAACAAACTCAAGAATACCTTGCAGCCCCTGAATTTGGAACCTCTTTTGTACTGAGTGTGTTGCCTTGGGCACTGGGCCCTAGTAAAGTGTTTTTCCTTTACAAAAAAAAAAAACAAAAAAAAAAAACTCAAGAATAAAATATTTCATTTCAATACGGTTCCAACGTGCCTTTTTGCGCCCTTCAACCATCACTTGTTTAAAGTTATTTTCTTTCATCAAGTTTCATGTCAATGATTCCTTTAACATTTCCCTTTTCTAAAAAAAAAAAAAAAAAAAAAAACTTGAAAAACTTAAAAAAGGCGTTTCGTTTTTTTTTAATTTTGAATGCCCATTCCCTGCAATGTCAGGATTCTGTAAAAGGCAGCGAAAATAATTTTAACTTGGTTCAAATAAAAAATGAAGTCCTGTTAGTAAAAATCGGTAAAACTTACTAAAAAGATACTAAAAAGCAGTAGAAGTACTAAAAACTCACGAAAAGAGTATGGAGAAAAAGAAGAAGAAGAAAAAAACGTGTCCAAGCCTCCAAGGGGAGATCATTTGTTCTCAGGTGGGACTGACTGCACTGGGAGATGTCTTTCTTCTCCCCTCTTTTTCTATGAAATGTCTTGGTGCAGAGCCTCCAGCACAGCATCCCCCTTCTTCATGACGATGGAACTAGCACTGCTGACGGCCATGATGGTTGCTGCATTCGCAATGCACCTTCTTCCATTTTCTCACAAGCGAGGTACGTGCTCGGGCATATAAACAGCTACTGTTGCTGCATAAGCTTTTGCACCTCCGGAAGAGCTGGTGGGTGAGCCAGCAAAATGCGTCGAGCATACTGCCCATGCTTTCGTGTTTTGTGTGTGTGTGTTGGGGGCAAGGAGAGGGCGGAGATGGGGGGAGGCAGGCTTTGTAAGCTGATGATGTCCACAGAGCGAGACGTTTGCAGTGTGTTATCTTTTTCTTCACGACCTTGCTTTGATTATGCTTGCTCCATGCCGCCAGACCGTTCGCTGTGCACTGACTGTTGCTGCACGTATGCAAGTGGGGACTTGCCAAATGGTTCGCAAATTGAACCTTTGGCCAACCATCCTGAGACCATCCCTTTCAAGTTACAACCCTCTGCTGCGGTCCTCGGTGTATGAGATGTGAGTCAACCTTAACCTATTTTTGTACTCCGTAACGGGGATAACCTTATCTGCTGCCACCCGTGAAACGAAAAGGAAAAGAGTGCATCTACCCACAAAAGGCGGCAAAATACACTCGTTACTATTTATAGCAAACCGATGAACCTGGCCATTTTCTGCACGAAGATGCATTCGTTTCGTTTTTTGTTTCGTGTGCCGTGCTAACACATACACTACCCAGCAGGATTTGAACTCATGATCTGTTTGTTTAGTACCAGGTAACTACATTTGTTACCTTTCAGCGAGCAGGGAGCAGACAGGTGACTTGTGTCAAGCTCAGTTCCCCTTTTCACTTTTTTAAGGTGGAAAAGCCCCCCCTTTTCACTTTTTTTAAGGTGGAAAAGCTCCCCCCCCCTGTGTAGAATGGATGATAATACGACTGATCGGCTCATCAGCTCAGTCACGAGGAAATACGGCAAGATACGAGCCCATATATATAGCACTGAACACAATCTCTCACGCAATGACACGCTTGCCAAATAGCACAAAGTACGATTGCAATAAGCACAAAAGACTTGAAAAGAGTCCAAATGTGTAGAATTACAATGCAAACAACTTTTTGCTGAGGGTTCGCAGATGAAAAAAACAAAACAGAAAGAGTAAACTAAAGCACACACGCTTGAAGTTGAAGCCCCTTTCAAAGTTCAAACCCTTTTAAAACTCATGTATACAGAGCTACAGCGCATTTTACCTATTTCGCATTCAGAATTTCAATATTCAAATACAATGCCCGGGTGTTATATTCGAAAGGGGATTATCATAGAGCAAAAAGTGAGTAAAAGGACATCTGGATTTTTTTAGGGTAACAACATGAAGAAAAGGCCCGGGCGTTATGTTTCAGGAGACGGTAGCAAGTACCATGAAGAGAGAGAGAGAGAGAGAGAGAGAGAGAGAGAGAGAGAGAGAGAGAGAGAGAGAGAGAGAGAGAGAGAGAGAGAGAGAGAGAGAGAGTCGGCGGAGGACCGGAAGTACAGTTGTACGTAGTTGTCGTGGACTTGGCTTTGTCATCCTAAAGTTCCACTGCTCCTTTGCTCAAGCTATACTTCTGGTCCTCCTGCACCCAAGCTATGATTCTGGTGCTCCACTCAAGCTATAGTTCTATTCATATTTGCCCAAGCTATAGTGCTGTTCCTTGATTGGTCAAGGTCCCCCTTCATCCAAGCTGTAGTTCTGGTCATTCTTTTTTTCCCCCAGCTATAGTTCTGTTCCTTCTTTGCCCAAGCTGCAGTTCTGGTCCTTGTTTGCCCAAGCTATAGTTCTGGTCCTCCTTCACTCAGGCTTTAGTTCCGGTCCTTCTTTGCCCAAGCTATGGTTCTGGTCCTCCTTCACTCAGGCTTTAGTTCTGGTCCTTCTTTGCCCAAGCTATAGTTCTGGTCCTTTGCCCAAGCTATAGTTCTTTCCTTCTTTCCCCAAGCTGTAGTTCTGGTCCTTTGCCCAAGCTGTAGTTCTGGTCCTTCTTTGCCCAAGCTATAGTTTTGTTCTTTCTTGCCCAAGCTGTAGTTCTGCGCCTTCTATGCCCAGCCATTGCGAAAGGAGGCATCTTGAACCCAAGCTGTGTGCTTCCCAAAGCAGTCGTACTCTTCACCCCACATGGTGTCGGAGAGATCAGTCGGTTTCACCCCTGAATCAGATCAGCAACTCATGGATCTGGAGGATGCGTCAGAGATGCCTGGAAAGCTGGAAACCCCATGAACAAGATGGAGGCCTTTGCTGGCGGTCCTCTGAGGGCTGACGAGGTGATACTTGCTCCAATCACGATCATTGCTTCATTTACAGACAGATTGTATTTTCAGTGGGACGCTGGACCCGGTTTTCAGCAGGTGCAGACTAAAAGGAGTCTAGTAGGCGGGGATGCCTACATCACCCTCCCTATTAGAACCCACAAAGTCTTAAAAAGAGAAAAAAAAAATAAAAAAAAAATGGAGGCCTTTGCTGATGAAGATAAATCTATTAAATCATCATGGAATAAGTAATTTCGGCAATTTGTCGCAGAGCAAGGGGGTGAAGAGAGAGCAAGAAGTTCTTAAGGGGAAGAAGAGGGGGGGAAGAAGGAAGACGAAAGAAGACGAAAGAAGGAAGAAGGGGAAGAAGAAGGAAGAAAAGGAGAAGAAGGAGAAGAAGGAGAAGAAGGAAAAGAAGGAGAAGAAGGAGAAGAAGGAGAAGGGGAGGAAGAAGGGGAACGATCATTTTATTTCAATCAAAACGAGGATACAAATCTGTTGTGACCTAATAGACTGTCCAGTGTCCTCTGAAATAACTTACGTTTCATGGAGGCTGCGATCTGAGATCAAGGGGGGTGCTTATTCTTCCCCTTCTCCTCTACAGACTAGTGAGCTCATGGACTTAACTTCTTCTTCTTCTTCTTCTTCTTCTTTAAGTGGCCATCTCCTGATATTATTGATCCATCAGGGGTTGAACTCATGACATGTTTATCACCAGTTACATGTGTGTGGGTATTTAGCCACATTGACAGGGCATGGGCTGGTGCTAGTGTGGCTAAATAGCACCTCCTCCTCCTCCTTTTCTTGTTTTCCTACCGAAAGGCCGGCCCTGGTCTATTGGGGGGGAGGGGTGATAAGAGTAGCCTTTCCGAGTAGGCCAGACGCTAGCCGCTTCCATCTATTAGTGGGGAGCATCACTTACTGGGAACCGGGTCCAGCGTCCCTTGAGCACATGAACAGAACTTCTACAGAACTTGAGAGCTACACGAGCGGTGTGACTGCGTTTCTTGTTGACTCTTGTTAATCCCCGGGATCGTTCAGCACCTCTTCACCCTAGTGCAGGGCGCCGAATTTTGACAACTAAAGCAAGCGCTATGTTTTCTAGACCAACAGATCTCCTCTTAAGAACTGCACTTCAGTACTTCGTTCCATTCTATATTCGCATAGCTAGATTGTGATATGATATTATGAAATAAAATGCTTTTTTTTGTTTTGGGTGGGATCCTGGAGGAGCTGCTTTTTTAAGGCAATTATCTTTTTTTTCTTTTTTCTTTTTCCTTTTCTTTTGAAGAACCGCCTGTCGCCTGGTAGGATGGGTGATATGAGCAGCCCCTAGTTCCAGGACAATGGTGGTTGCTCCAATCTATTGGTGGGGAGCTGCACCTGCTGGAAACGGGGTCCAGCGTCCCTTGAATACAACTGAGAATTGCAAAAAAAAGTAATAGTATATATACCCATTATCCCGCCAGTATTGATTGGCCCAGAAGACTGGGGGATGAACTGCACGGGGCGATGAAAATGAAGGGTCCTACGGACTCGGCGAAGATGAATAACGTGGCTTTTCTGTTTTTGTTTGCCTACAGGAGCAAGTTTATGGCTTTCAGGGGTTGCTTTATGTACCTGGCTCCTTTCCTTGATCATGGTGGGATCAGGACTGCACCCAACGTACACACACCTCCATCCCCGGCCAATCAGTGTAAGTCGTGTTCATCTTCCCCCGTGAGGTTTCTTGCCTGACTCCTCCATGGACTCTATTTGCTGCTATAGTCCCCTACATTCCCTTTTTTAATACTAGAAAGTCCAGGTTGTTGTAAAGGTTGGCTTCTAGAGTCTAGACTCTAGACATATGACAGTCACCCTCGGGTAATCAGCCATTCGGTTACCCGGATGAACCCCTCGGAAGACCCCACACCACCCTTCCTCTCGTCAATTTCCTGCGACCCTTACTTCTTTATATTTTGTTACTTTTGCTCAAGCCATCCCACAGGGCCAGAAAGGAGGCCCCTACCCTCTTCCCCGGAGTAGAACATATGGGGCCATTATCGCTCCATCTGGACTGAAAAAGTTGCCCCGAATACAGCTATAATGAGTGTACTATATATTATGAGGAAGATAGAAGCAATCCTCCTTAGAGCAGCAACAATCGAAAACAGCTCTTCAGAATCGACAGGTGGATGTTGGATGCACTCAGTCGTATAGCTGGGATGTGGTCGTGACCTCCTATTTGATTTTTTTACCTACCATTTTTTACTTTCTCTCTTTCTTTCTTTCTTTTCTTCTTCTCCCCCCCCTTCAATCTGGACCATTTCTCTATTTATGCGTCTCATCCTTGCGTAAGGAGGTTGTCAGAAACAGAGTGAGTGACTTGTGTGTGAACTATCAAACACACCATTAACAAAGTCAACAGTATGAGCTCAACCGGTTTCGACCGGTTTCGACCGCCGCCACACAGTCTTCTTCAGGGGGAACCACCGTAACTTCTCCCACGTCAACATTCGTGCTTAGTACTGCTTACCACTAAAGACCGACCTCCCCCCCGAACCCACTGACATCCCCGGAAACGTCAGCTGGGTTTCCGGCGTTGGATCCAAAGACATACCTTTTTTTTGTGTTGTTTTTAGCCATGTTAATCTTCTCTGTATCGTTCCGATTTTAACAGGTGTCCCGAAGGACAGGATCCAAAGACCTAGTACCTACTTTTGTAAGTTTGTTCAATTTCCTGAAGGACTTCTCGTCCTCTACCGACTTTTTTGTAAGTTTGTAGTACTCATACCTTCCTGTTTTGCTGTTGCAGGCAAGCCCGATTTATAATAAATTAATAACATAATCAATATTGATCATTGATCAATCAGATTTTTTATTTTATTTTTTTGGGAAAAAGCCATTAGACCATGAGGCCGGGAATTCCTCACGAACAACCCCGAACAAAAAGAGAATGATCAATTAGATCATCCAGATTCAATCTCTCATTTCCTTGTCAGGACTCAGTAGTATACAGGTGGGGAAAAAAGAACAAGCATAGAGGTGACCATCTCTGTCTGCCTGAACTCTTTTTTCTCTTTCCCATGACATCAAAATGGCGCTGGTGAGAGAAGCTTTGGCTTTGGCTCTGATGATATAATCTCTTGGGGGTACATGTGGATCGTGCGGTCTCTACATCTGCTGCACAGGTTGCTCATGTGATTGATTTGAGTCAGCCACAGTCATACATTGTGCTGTCCTCGCCTGCTCCAGGACGCCTCGGCAGGGAGGCTTCAGCAATCGGCAATGCTCTCGTTTGTTCACGGAACATTCCACTGGATTTTGTCAGCTACCAAGTCGGCTACGGGTGCATGAAGGTACTTCATGATCGTCGATTCCCACTCAGGGAACTTGGACAGCCTGGATTGGTTGTGGAAAGTGACAGCCTGCAGAGTGCTCAAATGAATGGCCATGGCGTCCGAGAAGACGGCAGAAGAAGAGTGACCCGCGTGTCTATGGATACGGGTGGATCACTGAACTGGGCTCTGGTGATTGATGCAAAAAGGATAGAGTTCTTTTCGGTTGACGCTGTGAGAAATGTAAATACAGGTATGAAATACTATGAAATAGTAGAAATACTACGAAATACTATGAATTACTAGCAAATCAGGAGATCTTTCTTTTTCTATCATGTGTGTGTGTGTGTGTGTGTTGTTTTGGAGACTGCCGGCCATTTTTTTCTCAATTTCTGAGCACCATGCTGATCTTCTCTGATCATTCCATTTTTTCTGGATGTCCTGGGAAACAGGGGAAATAAAAATAAGGGGAAACTACGCGGGAGTCGCAAAAATGAGTTAAAATTGCACCATGGGCCAAGATACAGTTTCAAATTGCTCTTTGGGCAATGTATACAACCCAGCTTTCTGGCCAGGTAGGGTGCCCGAAGTGCAATTGCAAACTGTATCTTGCCCCATAGTGCAATTATAGCTCGTTTGTGTGACTCCACAAATAATGGTGAGTGGCAGCATGATCTCGCATACACATCCAAGCATGACAAGTATAGCACAGATCCAAGGAGTCGACTCAAAGCACGAGACTACATAAACGCAGCGGAAGACTGAACATACATCTGACACAGCAATATCAGAGTGGACAATGCACACTCATACATGCATCACACGGTGAGAAGGGGGCAGCGCAGCTTACAAGGAAGGTGCGCTGTCCCCTGATCATCCTCGGACGAAGTAGGAGGGAGAGGGAGACGAAGGGGAAGAGAGGGGCACGAGACCAAGTCGCAAATGTCGCCAATCCAAAATGTCCCCGAAGTCCCAGTCTCAATACAATGTCCAAAAGCAGGTCTTTGCCCCGAAATACCAGAGCAGGGCAATGGCGAGAGTGTCCCCAAGTTCAGATCTCATCTCTCTCTCTCTCTCTCTCTCTCTCTCTCTCTCTCTCTCTCTCTCTCTCTCTCTCTCTCTCTCTCTCTCTCTCTCTCTCTCTCTCTCT